TTACCTGAGTCATCATCCTGGCCTAATCCTCAGATAGAGATTTCTCATCCAAGTGATTAAAATTGATAGAGGAGTTGTCCTCATTGTCAGAGTTTTCTGATTTGCGCTTGGCAACATGGTTGCGAAGTCTGCAAGTGGTGGCACGAGTGTCGTCATCTCGTGTTCTTCGTCATTGTCGACGAGAGGAAGAATGGGTTTGTCACGCAACTGTTTCTCGAAGTTGCGGAACGCATGCTTTCCTTGAGCCATCTTATGGTGAAGGATAGGTTGAGGGTAGCTGAAAGCTATTGTGTTTGTAACAAAATGCACTACGCTAAAAGCTAGTGTAAAGATCTTTCGGGTTTTGAGTTTGAGAGAATGAAAGTTATAGAGAGATTAGAAAGCTATGAAAACTAATCAACGAGAGAATATCACATCAAGGATCGTAGATCTGGCTTCCCGCGGGGACTATAAAATGTGATAGAGTAGGTTGTGGTAGTAATCCTACGTCTCTCCACGATCCTAAAACGGAACGCGTGGAAGTTTGTCTAGCCTGGATTAGTAGCGGGAAGTACTCCACGCTGGCTAAATATCTAGAGCGATGTTTCATCATCAACCTAGTTGACTAGGCGGTCATTGAGAACCCTGTCTCAAATGACTATTCACGAGACTCGTCATGAGTCGAACTCAAACCCTATCTAGGATCGAGTCGCGAATAAGCTAGAGCCGTGTATTGCACAAGCCAAGGGTGCAGGAGTGCTCTCTCTGCGGTAGGACGCTTCTTGGGCTCGTAGGTGAGAAGCTTCTCTATGAAGTCTTTGGCCTCATCTGAAATGTAGTTCCACGTCGTGCTTGGAAATTTGAACTTGCCCATCACAATGGATTCATATATAGAATCACGGCTCCTGCCTTTAAACGGAAACTTGCTCGATAGAATGACGTAACAGAGCACACCCACTACCGATACGAAATCAATGAGCAACAGAGAGAAGCGAAAAGATGAGGCAAATCACAATAATTCACGTACAGCCGGAGAGGCTTCGAGGAACTCACCAGACCACATGTCGCAAGATGCTCCAAAATAAGAGCGATTCACAACTTCTGGTGCCACTAAGAGTTGCAGATGAATTCAAAGCGGATTAGAGATCAGTCAAGTATTATCAAGTGAGCCGTCACTTCTTTCTCGTCACTAAGTAACTTACTGTAGTGTACAGTTCCAACCCACTCTGTCATCTCTTCACCGTCCTTGAATACTTTTGCAAAACCGAAATCGATCAACTTCACATGGTTGACGTCCTTCGTCTGCTCAAGCAGGATGTTGTCCGGCTGAATGATGAAGCGTAATGTAAGATTTTGGAAATTTCATAGGTGTTTCTCAGGCAAGACACATCATTGTGCTCACATTTGCCGTACCTTAATGTCTCTGTGTACAACTTTGCGGCCATGACAGAAATTGAGGCACGAGAGGACCTGAGTAATCAGCACTGCCGCATCGACTTCTTCCAGTTTTCCCCACTTCCAGAACGAAAGTTGTCAGTTCGTATGGTAGCCACAGCTGTTCCTCACAAAACAACGGAGTCAACAACTTACAGTGACAAGGTCGTCACACAGGTCGCCTCCCTAAAGGATCATACGAGAGGAGACAGGAGAGATGACGTTTGGTGAAGGTGAGTAGCAGCTTCTTCTGAACCAAACCAATAGCACCCTCCCGAAACCTACTTTGCAGATATCCATCACGATGTAGTAGTGCCTTTGATCCTGAAAGAGATCATAGAACTTGATAATGTTGGGATGCCCCATTCCCTTGAGGTTCTGAACACTAATTCCCGAATGCTTAATCTTCTTGACTTTTTATAATTAGACTATACGATTTGTTAAAGAACATCGTCCAAGAATATAAAATAGGTGTCTACTATTCCCGAATAATAAATTCTATTCTACAATCATCTTCCGTCAAGAACCTTTTCAGACCAACAAAAATACGGTTTCACGAATCGCTTATCATACGATCCAATGTGTTTTGAAACTAGGTAGATTGCTAGATAGTTCAGTTTCAGATTAAATACCATTCTACCAACCGGGATTCTGAAGAACGAATCAAAATTCCTACAAGCTTAAGAATTAAAAGAATTAGATCCACAAACGGTAAAACAAAATAATAATAGTTTCTGAGAATAGGAAACAGATTATTTGTAATAATAAATCAAATACTAATTGATTTTACATTCTACTAACATTTATTGGCACCGCCAAAAATCCATATTTGCTTTTACAAACTAACGAAATTTTATTTTAAAGGCTGCACCTCGTCAGACAATCCCGCTGAACGGTGCCGTGACGAACCCATATACCTCAGACGCACAAGGGCGCCCACTTAGGATGGGCCTAGTGTAAGCCCCCCACCGGAGAAATTGAACAAAACTCCAGAGGGTGCTATACGACTAACTATCTACGCTAGGCTAAATCGCCCGCTATTTCTATGGGAATCCCACATCGGTGCATAGTTACCCTAATTGGGAAGGCTGCTCACGGGCATGCTCATCCCTCATTGCTTTGTCAAAAAATCCATATTTGCTTTTAGACTCCTGCGCGTTGCTGCACGTCAGACAGCATAGCGGCAATGGGGCATGGAGTAAAGCCAACATCATTTTCGCCAATGTTGGCATCGTTGCCAGTTTGGTGTAATAGTACTGATGTCTCAGATTGAAAATTTGTCATCAAAGACGCAGAAAAGTTTTCTCCCTCTGTGTGCATTTGTTGCAATCTGTCAACAACGGCTTGATACCATCCCATACTGTCAGATGTATTATTGGTGGTGCAAACAGATCTTGATTGTTTGATGCGACCATACAGACTTTTGTAAACATTCTGATTCTTTCCAAGCTCCGTGCTAGTATCAATAGCCTTGTCATAACTTTCATGCTTTCTCTTTCTACCGCCCTTCTTCTTTTTCCTTGCTCCTCCATTTGTGGAATCAGATGTTGCACTTGAACTTCCAAGACTGCTGACACCCCCTCCATCGTCGAGCTATTTCAATACTTCTCCTAGCTTCACAGCAGTAATAGTCAGTATCATGGCTTCATCTGATACTGTTACCTTGTTCATCAAGATCTCCTTTGTAAGAAGATGTTTGCCTCCGTAGACTGATGCTGCATCACCTCTTGGGAGTATAGCCTTCACAAGACGACAACAAACAAGCATCCACAACTCTTTGGCATCGTTACTGGCATTATGGAAGGATACTTTGTGGATTTCATGTCTAACAGCAGTCAAAACCCGAGATTCATGCTGTAGGAGCTTCAAAAGAGCTTGCTCGGTTCCAATGCTAGCAATAGGGGCTTCTTGAACCCCATTTGTGTTATCATCCGAGTCATTTGCACCTAAAAGCAAGTTTGAAAGGTATGGTTTGATTTGATTTGGTTTGGTTTGGTTTGGTTGTTTGATATTGCATGTATGACAAATAAGATTACTCACTTTCATGATTATTGAACTCATTGCTTGTTGTGTTCTTGAGAAGAGCTGATCGTGTGAAGTGAGTAAACAAACATTGAACAATGCTCATGAATAGTATGTGCTTATTGCTTGTGCTTACCAATCAGTTCACTTTTGATAACCTTTGTCATCTCTTGCCTTGTGTTCATGATGAATTACATATTTTGCCATCGGAATTACCTTTCTGTTCCAATCGAGTACTTCTTCCAAAGTCTTCGGTTTGGGCATTCCAATTTGTTCCATAAAAGTAGTGAGCACCATAGTACTTGCCAGCTCCTTCAAAGTAATATACTTATAATCTTTCTTCAACTGCTTTGTTGCCTCTATTGAAAGCTCGTGTTGTAGGCCATTTACTATACCAGCTTTGAGTAAATTATCCTTGGTATGAAAACGAGCCTGGTTTCCTTTGGCTAGTTTAGATGCAAAAGCGTATTGAGACAACAATAATGAAGAAAAAGAAATAGATTCCATCAGCACAGATTAAAGCTTATCATGAAGAGCTATACTGCAGCTTTAAGTTAAACTGTTGCAAGATATTGGCCGAGAAAGTTGCACCAGAGGTCATCGTGAGTGGTTGTCTACTAAAGCTGTTATCTCCAACAAAAAAATGAGACAAGAGAACTGACCTTGCAATTAAACTCCCTCCAATAAAATGTCGCGCTCTTTGCTGAACATACAGGCGCTCATATCATCTAAATACTCAAACTTTTCAAAACTTTGTTAGTGGAGGTTGCACGACTGTACATACTTTCCAGATACAGACACGCCTGGAGAGCAATTTTACATTGGCGATCAGCACATTTACCTTATTTTTGATGATTCGATTCTTCGTTCTCATAAACTTCATTGGTAGTGCTAGCTACCATTGAACAAGCTGCTTTCTTGAAGAACATCACATACAGTAGCTAGCTACTACTAGTGCTAAACAAGCCAAGCCAAAGCTAAGATGAGCAAAAAGAGGGGGTTCAAATGTTTTGCTTGTGGGAGGTTGTGTCAAACCACATACACATTGAGCACGCACGTAAAGTCTCATTCATCAAGCTTGGTGAAGTAATCTATCAAGCATCTCTAGCTAGAGCTTCACAAAGAAGTCATGATACTGGATGGAATGATTGGGCTTATGCAGACTGGCCTGAGGAAGTGATTCCACGCATGTCTGTCGAAAAAACATCCGACAACAGACAACCCACCAAGAAGAAGCAAGCTGCAAAAAGAAGCGGGCGGGACTTCAAAAGGCACCGGCAGCAGAGAGTCAGACTGACGATGATGATGGCACCAAACCAACTGGAAAGCTTTTGGGAGAAGCTGCCCTCAATGCAAATGGTAGGCTAGCACCCATACATCTTCTTTGCTTTGTTGAAATAAGAGGTCTTAAGGAGGAGGGGGGTTTCAATATACAATTCCTTCACAACAAAGATCAGATTGATGACTGGGTACACAACCAAAACTATTCCCTCGATGTCGTCCTCATTGATGACTCCCTCGTTGAACACATGGAAGGAAAGGAACTAGGAAAGGAACAAACGAGCTTACGAAGGGATCATGACGTTTTTGATCAACTATTCAATAAGAGCGATGGAGGTGCACTCGATGGACTTGCCCTGGGAATTGGAGGAGATCGTTGTGCCAACCTACTCTATCGTCTCACCAACGGAGAATTGACCAAGGCGTTTAATCCCAAAGTATGGTGGATCGTCGTGGGAACAGAAGACTGGGAGTTTGGATCCACTCCAGCGGCCATTCTTGCCGGAGTCATTGCCATTGTCAATGCAATTCGTAGTGTGCACCCTGACACCCAAATCGTCATTAACAGCTTGCTCCCGCATCAAGTCAACGACGAGTCCATTCGGCAAGTCAATCTAATGTTGGGCTGCTAAGTGTACTCGGAATCGCTACGAGAAGAACCAAATCATGATCAGGATCGAAAGTTGCACTTCTTCAATGCCACGGAAATCTTTCTCAAGGAGAACAAACATGGAGAGCTTGTGGTCAACTCGGGACTCATGATGCGTATGCCCAACGGCGAGGAGAGTAATCCTGATGCTCATGGCGACTTCCTGTGGGGCAAAAGGATTGTCGAATCAGTCCAGAAGATAACCGACAACAACAACAGTGGCTCTTGTGGAAGCAATCATGAAAACCGAAGATTGCGACAATACCATTGTGCATTGACTAGTCTAAGGATCTAAGAGATGTAAAGTTTGTATTTCCAAATAAGTAAGCAGTTATTGATTATTTTCTAGAATAAGCCTGCTAATTGTAAAGCTGTAAAGCTGAATTGTAAGCTGTATCCCGTCGCACTCCCTTACAGCTGAAATGAAGCTGGAGCAAGAAACGATAGGAGAGAGTCCCAGCAAAGTGCTGAGGTAAATTACCATCCCATGAGGAGCTTCGAATGACAGCAAACTGTGAGCCGGAAGACCCTTAGTAAAATGTCGGCCCGTTGTTCCAGAGTCGGAATAACTTGGCCACGATGCCCTTCGACTCCCGATATTGGAACCTGAAGAAGTGGTACTTCAATGCCAAATACTTGTTGCGCGCAGACATTTTGGGAACATTTACAAGAGACAAGGCAACCTTGGTTGTCTTCAAACATGAGAGCGCACGAGACTGTCATAATTACGGCATATTCAGTTTGCTACCAATTTCTTTGAGCAAAGCTCGCATAGAAGCAGCTCCCTCATTGACATGCTGAAGGCAACATACTCAGCAGCAGTGAGCTCAAAGTAATGTCAGTCTGTAGCTTGCTGGACCAGATATAGGGCACCCAAAAAAAGTCAAGACAAATCAGTGCGGACTTGACGACAACAGGACCTGATCATCCTCATATCCATACAATCCGGCGAAGTCAGCATCGACCCAACAATCAAGTCCCTGATCAAGTTTAGGGCTAAAACAAATGCCTTTGTCACTGTGCCAATCAGATACCGAATGATACGTTTGATTGTTGAGCATGGGAATGCCTGGGATTGTGACTGAATCGTGCCACCTGGTGCACACTAAATGTGATGTCTGGGCGAGTGTTCGACGCAATATTAAGCAGCATCCCAACTGCAGCTGGGTAGCTCCCACTCTTCTTCAAATGGGCCCCCAGTTTGTCAGCTCCGAGAGGATCGGTGGCGGCAGGAGAAAGCTTCTTGCTAGCGTCAGACATACCAGTATATTCGATGACTTGTTGTTTGAGCCCTTTTTGAGTAAGCTCAACATTGTCTCCCTGTCTTTCAAAATTAATCGAGGAATCCAAAGATGTCACCCTTTTCTTCCATGGTGAGGTCATATCCAAGTTTCTGGAGCTGCCAACATAGGACTCAATCAGATCATTGTTGGACTGAGCCAGATTTGGTCATCACAATAATTTAATACCATGAGTTGATGTCCTTATGAATAAACAAACATGGGTCTGCTGCCGAGGTTTTGAAACCAAGTTGGACCATCCCACGACATAGTGCTCATAAAATAATTTGGTGAATCGGTCTGCCCATAGATGGATGTCAAGTTTCAAAACACAGTCCTGTCCTTCATAATCTTTGGGGCGATAGTACTGAGGCAATCCATGTACAGTGGCTGGTCGACAGGCTGAGGCTTGACAAAAAGCAAGAGTAAAATCAACTTGTCTCATTCCCATCCATGTGCAGCTGCAAGAAGAGAAGACCGGCTCTAACAGTGGCCAACCAACAAGTGGAAGTACGCGATGCCTTCATAGGACTTAAGGTCTCCTCTGCAGCACCATCTAGATTTGAACTTATTAATTGTCCGTCTGGTAACCTCTTAATTCGTTCACCCATGTTCCAGGAACGCCTTGAGGTGTGAGGCAGAAGAACATTGTACGATGTGCCAAGTCCCTTGCCTTCAAGGCTGGCAATAACTTTGTCCATTGTGCCCGAAATGGTCTGCATGTTGTCCCATCAGAGATTCCTTCAGAGACGGGAGATCAGGGTCTTTGGAAATTTGGCCTTGAGAGCCAGGGGCTTTGAAGAATGCCAAGATGAAATGATTCCTGGTGTTGGTCAAAGGTGAATAACCATTCACCTGAGATTGCATCATGTGCCCAAAATTGGAGTAACTCCAAAGTCAAAGCTAAAGCACAACTCAACAAAGGGATGAAGGACGCGCATATGTCTTCAACTTGGGTCCATGTTCAGAGTCTCAGGCTTCTTGCTGTGGGCTGTTCTACTGGGATTACGACGAGGGCAGAGATTGGCTCATGTGGACATCAGTGGTGGAGTGCTGATGGTGGGAGGCTCCCTTTCCCAAGAAGAGGGTAAATTTTGAGTCTGAGTGGTGGCAGACGATCTGGAATCTCCCTGTGTGAAACCTGGCTGTGCTGGAGACGGAGCTTGAAAATGAAGATCATCCTTTTTTCTTTGCTCTTGTATCCTGCCATAATTTTCTCCCATGTCGAAGCTTCTGAAGATAGATCGGTGCTGGTTTATGGCATTTTCCTCTGGAGTAAGACTCGTCTGCAAGGGAGTGGAGTGTCCTCATCAAATAGGGTCTCGAAGCGTGGAAGATGCACATGTTGTTCCACTCTAGAGGTGGTTTATCTTCTGAAGAGTAAACTGTTTCAAACCAATCATACATAGACAAATTGTACTGAGGGGAAATGTATCCGGTTGTAAGGTTGACGGATCAAACCAAATTTTCTGAATGGACAGGTGGTGCCAACATATGTCCCTCCTGGACCTGGGCTGCCATTTGGAATCTTTCCTCCTTCACTGGTAAGCGGGGGTTCCAAACACATATGCAGGGCATCCCCAAGGATGGGCATTTCTGATGACATTGACCATCACTGACAGTGGCAATACACAGCTTTGCACTTATTCACGCGACTCGATCCATTAGAATAGGGTTGAGCTCATCGACTCATGAACCGAGTCTCTCAGTGAAATATCATTGAGACGAGGTTACTCATGACGCCGCGACTAGTCACACTAGGATTATGATGAAATCGCTCTAGATATTTAGCCAGCGTGGAGTACTTCCACGCTACTAGATCCAGGCTAGACCAAAACCTTCCACGCGTTCCGTTTTTAGGGATCGTGGAGAAGACGTAGGATTACTAACCACAACCTACTCTATCACACTTTATAGTCTCCCGCGGGAGAGCAGATCTACGATCCTTTGATTGATGATCTCTCTCGTTGATTAGTTTTCATAGCTTTCTAATCTCTCTCATAACTCTCATTCTCTCAAACTCCAAAACACTCGAAAGTACTTTACACTAGCTTTTAGACGTTAGTGCATTTTGTAACAAACACAATAGCTTTCAGCTACCCTCAACCTATTCCTTCACCCTGAAGATGGCTCAAGGAAAGCATGCAGTTTCCGCAACTTCGAGAAACAGTTTGCGTGACAAACCCATTCTTGCCTCTCGTCACAATGACGAAGAAACACGAGACGACGACATCGTGGCCACCACTTGCAACAATTCGCAACCATTTTGTTGACAAGCGCAAATCAAAAAACTCTGACAATGAGGGCAACTCCTCTATCAATTTTAATCACTTGGATGGAGAAATCTCTATCTGAGGATTACGCCAGGATGAGCTCAACTTGAACCAATGTGTTTCCGTTATTTTTCTTCCATATCCCATACAGTGTATTTGATGAAGATGTCTCACTAACTAGTAAAAAGAATTGTTTGCAAACGATGAACTCTACGGCAATTTAAGTTATGATGTCTCTTCAGTAAGTGTCTTGCTTTCAACTCAACTCGCTGCTCATGATCTCATATTAGCATTCTTGTTCAAGCCTCGTCCGTTGCCAACCATCTCGTAAACGTCGTAAGACAAGAGACCTCAAAAAACCTCATCTTTTACGTTTCAGATTTATACAAGCTGAGATAAAATGTGGAATACCTATAAACCCTGGTTATCACTTCCGTTTTGCTTGTCCTGACTATCTTAGAGCTAGCCGCATACTTGATTGCTCAACTTCATGCTAAGAAATTATGAATGAAGGATCTTGGGGGGGTCCAAACATCCTGTCGGGACTACGTCCCTTGCATGAGAATTTAAACACCAGCACGAAGTTTTTGCTTAAGGGTTGGCATCATGATCCGAACCACTGAACGATTTAGAAGAATATCGAGGTGGGACCGTACACGTCACCAAGAAGCTGGGGGCGTAGACATAGCATAGGTCGAGATATCTCTCGACTAGGTCAGCGAGTTCACTACCATGTCAGAGGAATGGGACGGAGCATCTATCCCTATGAAAGACAGCGACAACAATGAAAAAGAAACTCATCCTGGCCTGCCCTGTCGATGACAGGTCAGAGCGTCTCCAAGAAGTCTGAGGCGAAATTACGAAACAGCTGGACCCCCCCCCCCTCCCCCCCCTCTAAGGCAGGTGCCAAAGTCAAGATCAAGTAAACACGGAAGAGAAGGAAACGCCACGCCTTACGGACGAAGGACTCTGACCTATTCGATTGTACATTAGGAAAGTGGCAGATGGACGACTACGAAGTAGAACTGCGCCCTGATGCTAAACCCAATCATGCAATGGCTTACCCTATTCCACGGGT